AAGCAAAACTTGTTTCTAAAGGGAGACACCTGCCCAGAATACCGACAGGGGCCAGATTTTCTGACTTGCCCCCCTGAGCAAGCCCAGAGGCGGCTCCAGCCCTTGCAAGAGTTCTGTTAGGCAAACACAGCTTGCCCGGGGCAGAGCTGCTTTGGCAAACTCGCTCTTCTCCTGCAAGATCCAAAAAGAAAGCCTCAACTCCTTTGCCAAAGTGCTGTCAACCCTCCTTCCACAGGAAGGCTCCTCTCAGATGCATAGGCTGGGCTCCTCCGTGCCAGTGACTCTGGCTGGTTGAACACCCTTAAAATGCCGCTACAGAGGCACGCGGTGCCAGCCTGGGATGGCATATGACACAGTCCTTGGAAGAGGCACGGTTGACTCGAGTTGGGGTTATTGATTTGTTTTGTTTTTCTCTCTCCAGTCATAAAGCCCTTCCTCTCTCTTTCATCACATCATTTGACCGATCTTCGTTCGAGAACAAAAAGCTTCTATAAAGTCACACTTTTAAATGATGTATTCATTTTTAACTTAAATTTTAACTTCTTATAGGAAAATACATCTTTAATTTTCACAAACTAAAAACACCTATAGAACAACTACACAGATCAAGAAACAGTCCCCCACCCCCTCAACACCCCAGGAGCCCCTGCCGTTCATTCTAAGGTCTCTATCTCATGCTTGAGGGCAATCACTATAACATGAGGCCACATTTTAAATCCACTTGTGGCCAAAGAATTTACTATAGGAGCTAAATTTGGGTGTGTGTTTTTAATTTGCAATTTGTAAGTATTTCTTCATTTTAATTGGACTTAATTTGAGAGGGGAAGTTTCCATGTTTTCAAGTGTTCTGTAAAATTATTTGAAGCCAGTCATTCTTGATACAATACCTTCATCTTTGCCATCGACTCAGATGCCCCATGGCACACACAACTCTCTTCAGAAGTAGCGGTTGGAAAGAATTCTGTTTCTGTCTACCACCACATTTCCCGTTACATCGTGTAGCTAATATCTGACCCAAGGAATGTGCCTCCATCAAAAATAGGTTACAAACAAAAGTAAGAAAAATAAAAGTGCTCTGCCCTTTCTTTCCATCCCAGTTACTCCTCAGCACCCTTAGCCACAGCAGTGCCCAGGCTTCCACGAACTTCAAGTTTCTAACACAGGCCAAGTTCTAGACGCTCATGGCAATGGACTTGGAAGATGCAGACCCTGCTTAAAGGCATTGAAATATGTGATCATTGTGGAGAGGTGTCCATGACTGTCCACGCTTTTAAGTCACTCTGTGGTTAATTTCTCCATTAAACTCTGTCATTTTCTCTGACTGCTGAGCCACACCACCGCTGCCCATCCGTCAGCTACTTTCTGAAGTGTGTCGCCGTTGTGTTGCTGTGGACTTAGCCAATTTATTTACACCTGTCGCGTGCTTCTGCCTCATCTGCATTGTCACTGTGATGGTATTTTTTCTTTCTGTCTGTTTCTTCCACAGGAGTTTAACCAGTAACCTACCCAATGTGAACCTACCCAATGTGAACCTTCCCAAAGTACCAAATCTACCAGTTAACATCCCTCTAGGCATCCCACAAATGCCTACTTTTTCGGCACCGTCATGGATGGCTGCTATATATGATGCTGAGTGTGTATTCAGTTCACATTAGATCTAATTTAAATTAAAGTGATCTTGGCATGGATATGTCTTGTTTATTTCTATACATCCCATATAACAGAGATGGAGAGGGATAATTAGACATATTTTGCTGATCATACAGAGACGATATTGTTTATTTCTGGCATGTGGCGTGTTTGTAAGTTGTTTGCTATATATACAGCACTAACAATTTTTCTGACGCCCACTGAATGCTTGAGGACTGTTTCACTTCCTGAATTCTTTTGCAAAAAGATCCTGCCCATATTTTGTTGTTTTGTTTTATTTTTAATACAGGTGGCAAGGCTTTAGGAGTTATTCATCCAGAAATAGTCCAGGAAACCTCTTTCATGGGCTGACCTGTCATCTCTGGCCTGATCCAAATTTAAGAGGGAAGCACACCTACCTGAAGCTTTCTTTTCAAAAAAAAAAAAAAATAATAAAAAAAAATAATTACCCATCAGATTAGACACCTACCTGAAGCTTTCTTTTCAAAAAAATAATAATAATAATAATAATAAATAATTCCCAGAGACTGTTTAAACCAGAAAGTGTGTTTCTGGTGTCAGCAAAAGGCAGGCTATAGTAGCAGGATGTTGAGGGCTAAATGAAAATTTCTGAATGGATCGAGCCCCAGTCATGTATGTAACAACACTTCCCAAGGTCATCGTGTAGCACTGAGCGCTGAGACCTAGGTAGCAAAGTCTCTAAATGGGAGACTGCAAAACTGAAAAAACAAATAATGAAGTTTTTTGGTAGCGGTATCCCCTGTGGTCTGAGTGTAGAAACTCTTTACCAATGCCAGGCCACGCGGGGTTTGTTTTCTTGGAGGCCGAGCCATCCCTTTCATGCCAGCCAGCAGGTCAGGGGAATGGAGGCTGAGCCGCCATTTTTCCCAAGGCTTTGGAAATGAATCCCCTCTTTCCTCAGCAAGAAGAAGATCCAGCACCTCTAAATCCCACCTCAGGGAAATGAAATGAGAACCACGTGCATGATTTAATAAGTGAAATAAGGCTTCTCGATTCTGTGCCCCCTTTGATCCTTTTCTTAGACCACAGCTAATTATAGGCCAGATAAGCTTTTTCTTGAAAGAATAAATTGGCACGTTTTCAAAGGGAAGTGTTATTATCAAAGGAATAAAAAATGATCTGAAACTGGCAGTGAGTTTTGAAACCTCGAAAGCACATCCGTCAAGATGGCCCTGGACATTTCCATTGCTCTGTGATGCAGGTAGAGCACAGGACCTGAAAACCCCGCTCTACCGGGCTCCTCCAAAGCTGCCCATATTTTTTAAAAAACTGAGCTTGTTCACAAGTTCACAATGAAATCACAGGGTCAGTGTGTCTGTTTCTCTTTTAAAGATGAATCACAACCTCTAAAAATTTATATCTGAAAAAAATCTAAAAAAAAAACCCATAAGTCATATTCATGCTAAGATGACTATATTAAAAGTTAGATTAGGTATTATCTGTTAATAATTAAAAATAAATATCTGAAAGCTTTTTACCTTCTTCTCTGCATGCTCTGTGACATTGTTTTTGAAAAGATATGAATCAAGACATTGTAATAAAGCAGATAATGGTCTCTGTCGATTAATTAAGGCATGAGTGGGAACACATTTTGGTAACTGCTCAGCAATCAAAATAATCTTGGTGCTATTGCCTTAACATTAACAGTTTATCTTAAAAATAAAAAGAAAATATTCTTTTCCTCATGTCAAAACTTAATAATAAGCTCTTCAAAGAAAAAGAAAAAAACCCTAGAAGAATTTTTTGAAACTCTGAAACCAGATGGGTGTCAAAATGTTGTTGTAATAAATACCAATTATTGCATTCATATGTACTTAATGATTTAAAACATACAACCATGCAGTTCCAAAACGGGGTTTAGACTAGACAAAGTTGGGGTTTCTTTTTCCCAAGCCTAGGATGGGGGAAGGGGGAAGGCTGAACCTCCGCGGAAAAACGAAGCGTCCCCCCACTTTGGAGCAATGCGTATGGCAGTATCTGAAAAGAAGGCCTAGATTCTCAATCGCCCACCAGGAAATGCCTGATTCTATATCTTTTCATAATTCCAGTTTCCTCCTTTGCCACCTTTCATTTAAAGGTCGTGTCTCCATGTTACCTGCTCCTCCGTGTCAGATACGTCTACGTACTGACCTCAGACTGGTCTGTCCTTGAAAACATGTCCCTGTTGGTCGAGGCCGTAGGCTCCCTCTTGGCATGTTGGGAGCACCCCCCCCCCCCGCAGTAGCTGTGTATGCATTTATGCACTAGCTATATTTCTCTCTGAAGCATTAATTCAATGCAGCTGGCATCTGTCACAATAGAAACACCCACTCTCATCTGTTTCTATAGACGATGTCAGAACAAGTGGTAATGCATGGTGTGTTGGACATTTTATAAATTACTGTGTTAGCATTAGTGGTATGCGAGGAAGGGGGTGGGAGGTGGCCACCCCTCAGAGCTCCAAATGGGGTTGTTACAAAAGAGAAAGCCAGCCAGAGAAGGGCAAGAGGGTGAGAGATGGAGCGTTTCCCATACACAGGCTTTCCGTGGAGGCCCCAGGTAAAAGTTTCTTACACATCATTGTACAGAAAGGAATCAGGACCAATTCCTCCATCTGGACTGGGTAAGATGGTGCAATGGTTTAAAAAAAAACAAGCTTTGCAAATATCTCTTGTCCACTCACTTCCCCACCCCCAACCTCCTCCTGGGGTTGCCTATGCAACGGGCTGGTCTATTGGAATAATGACCAATCTGAACAGACGCATGGATTCAAGGTATCCAGGTGGACTCAGCTCAATTTGAGTCACCCCAACTTCTCTCCAGCTCTTCAAGAGAGAAAGCAGGTCCTCGCTCACCACTTTGTTAGCACTGTCCCTTTAAAACTCCAAGTCTGTGCAGTCTCCAAGAGGCCTCCATCTGGAGGGGAGCTGGGGAAATGCATGAAGCCCGAATTTGAATAACTGCATGTTGCCATGTAGTTATTATTTGTTGAGACTTACTTCCCCCTCTGGTTCGTGGCCTTCATCTGAATCATCACATGTGTTAATGTGGTTATTAAAAGAAGGCTGATTTTTACCATACACTGCTCTCCTGGCCGTGATGGGGCAATACGCCCCTCAGACTTCTCACTGGTCTGAATAATTGGCTGAACAAAGCCGCCTAGGTCATGTATGGTAAAACTCAAAATCTGCCGGTGGAGAATGCCCCCACCTCCACCGCCAACACGCGTCGTTTTGTATGTTGAAGCTACTGTTTGCCTCGAGCCTTCTAGTCCCAGTTGTCTTTGTGTCAGCGTTTCAGAGCCCAAGGCCACTGGGTGACTCTTGGTTTTTTTCTTTTTACCCTGCCAGCAACGGATCAGGCACCTCGGAGGATCTGTTCTGGAAGCTCGATGCCCTTCAGACCTTCATTCGGGACTTACACTGGCCCGAGGAAGAGTTTGGGAAGCACCTGGAGCAACGGCTGAAGCTGATGGCAAGTGACATGATAGAATCTTGTGTCAAAAGGTAAGCCCGGCACCTGCGCGGTCTCTGCACGCCTTTCCCACCACACACTGGCCCAGGGCAGGGCCGATGGGCCATAACTTGGAGATTTTTCGAGAAAGTGATTGCTTATCAAAGTCAGTTGGAGTAGCGGCCACCCAAGTCCAGTTTCTGTTCAGCTGCCCCACACCTGCCCCAAGCAAACGGCGTGGCTGGTATTTCACTGAGCTCCATAGGAAAGGCTCCTTGTCGGTTCTTGTTTGTGTCTCTGACATCTAGCAGCATCTGGCACAAAATACTTAGTAAACGTATTTTAAATGTAGGAGTGTATGCATGGTGGGCAGCTAGATGGAAATCAAAGAAGCACATCCAATTCCTGAGCCAGCGAGCCCAGTGCAGGAGCAGGAATCTAGTGAATTTCCAGCCATGTGGGCAGGACCTGAGCAGCATCATTCATTCTGTACATGGGAACCAAGCCTGTACGACCTGCCAGCTATTCGTTGTCGTGTGCAAAATCTAACTAGATACCAACAAGAGGGCATGTTGCCTGCTTTGTCCCCGTGGGATATGGGATTGAGGTGGGAAGGCTGCACTTGCAGTCCCCAGGTGACTGTTCTGCAGGCAAGAAGAAAAGGCGAACAGCATGCATCCTTTCTCCAGGAATTGTTTGAGCTCCTCCTCTCTGCAGGCACAGGACTGTGTTCCCAGCGTACCAAGGACTGCACCCTTCCTTCATGGAGTGTCTGTATCCGCACAGCCTCAGATGTGACACCATTATCATCACCCTGTCTATCCCCAGACACATGCCCAAGTGCTTTTGCCAGTTCCCAACAATTGCATTATTATTCCTCATTAAAAAAAAACAGACGGCAAGCATCACAGGCCACTTGGATTTCCAGATGTTGTGTAGTTTAGTTGATGGACCAGTTGTGGGAGTCAGGGACTGGGTTTGGCTGCGAGTGCTCTGAGTTCATCGTGTTATATCTTGGAAAAAGAAAAGGGATGTAATAGCATTGAAACTGGAACCAAAAGGCAAAAATGACATAGTCACAGGTAGGTGAGCTTCTCGGCAGGAATTAGAGAGAGAGCAACGTGCTATGGAGAACCCTCAGGAACTAAAGTCCCGGTGATCCAGATTCTGTGCTTTATCCTTTTCTTCCCACTCTTGGCATCAAAGGCAGGCCTCTGTCTCAACCCCAAGGTCAAAATGTTTCCTTAGGGTTTTGATTCTCACCATCTCCTACAGAGTCTGTCTCAATTTTAGGAAAAGCCAATCTTCTCCTATGGCTAAACCATCTCACACAAAAACTGCTTGTCAAAGTGGCTCCTCTGGCGAAACGCTCCCTGGGACTGTAATGCATTAGAATGAAGGCCCTCTCGCTTCTGAGCTGTGCACGCGGTTGTACAGAAAGACACGCGTGCCCTTCTCTGGAGAGCCCGTCTTTTGAATAGATAATAAGTAATAGGAGATGACATATAGGTGGGCGAGGGGTCAGCCACTCAGAGAGTGTGAGCTCCTCAGAGGAAGGCGGTGTATCTCATTCACTTTGAGTTCCTCACCCGTCCCAGGTCCCAGCATCATGCTTGACACATGGTAGCTGTTAAGTAACTGTTACTAGGAGTTGGTCACCTGCACATGTACTCCTGACCCTGGTGTTTCTTCCGGTTAAGGCCCCAGTCTAAGCACAAACCAGACAAGAGCAAACGTGAGTGGAAATATCGTCCCCAGGCAGCCAGAGTCGGAGGGTAAGACATGAAACAGTCCGTGGGTGTTTTAAGACATAGAGCCCACATTTGTAGAGCCTAGAACCTTTGCTTTACTGTTTGGGACAGAATAAAGGGCCCCTGTTCTAGGATAACAGAGTAAGGACATGATTTCATGGATGTAAATATGCAACACCAAAGTCAATCGGTACTCCTCATTGCCAAGTTTCTAAGAAATTGAAATAACTTATTTGATGATATCATCCACTTAGTGAACCTGACAGAGCCTCTAGTCTAGCCTATTTCAGGTGCTGTGCTCCACACAAAACATGGTGCCCTAACTCTGCCCTCAAAGAGCATCAGCTGGATTAAATGACCTCTCCATTCCTGCCTTTTGGCCCCGTAGAGCCCTCTTGGTCATATTAATTTTGCATTCGGCTTCCTGTTTTCACAGCCCCACACTCTAAGGGTTATGAGCCGCTCTCCTGTGAAAGCAGATGATTACTTCATTCATTCGTAAGGAATCAATTTAGCATTTCCCTGTCTCAAGTTGGGCCGGGACTGGCCAGTGAGCCTCACAAGATCAGCACAGGGACCTGTCCAACTCAGTCCCCATCACGCCTCCTTTGCACAAAACCAGAACGTGATGTATTTGCAGCGTAGCTTAAAATGATCATCGTGATCAGAAAGCTACATCAGTGCACCGAGTCCTCAGAAGCCAAGATACATTTATCTTTAACATGATCATATAATATATAGGAGTGTTTGAAGGCATTTTTTTTAGTAGTTTGCTTAAGAGCTGGGCTTCCAACCTTAGAAATTATACTTGGCTTCCCTCATGCACCCAGGGTGTGTTAGCAAGCTGGCACCCTCTCCGAGCTAGCTAGCTGTGTGGTCCTCTCTGCACTGTTAGGAAACTCCTACAAATGCCTCTTAAAGCGATGCCTTCCTGGGGGCTGCACGATCTCCAGAACCTGACCAGGCACAATGCTGAAACGATGCCTTGGACAAAGGACCTTTAGTAAAACCACTTACTAACCAGGTGCTTTTCTCTAAAGACATGTGATGAGGATGTGACCCGCTTCTCTGAAACCTTTCAAACCATAACTGGGCCCCTCTGCAGGCTGATATCAGGGATTAAATCTCACACCTATAGCACCAGCTGGCCAGGTCGAACCGAGCTTTTCCGGGAGCAGTTAGCACACGGCTGGGTTCATAGTTTGACCTAAGTCAGAATGATGTCACAGTAAATCTCCACCATTACACAAGTCTTGAATTGGGAAGTATGGCATGACATTTTTACTTATAAGTATAATGTGTTCTTTATTGCAAAATAAAGCATTGACATGGCAATGCAAACAAACAAGCAAGCATAGTGGAAGTTCCCCCCCCACCACCACCCACCTTACCACCTCTCCTAATTTCACTCTCCTCTGCAAAGGTAGTCATCTCATTTTTCAGTCTTTAAAGCAATCTAACAAACTTGTTGTTGGTTTTAATTTCAGCCTCTTTCAAAGCCAGGATAAAATTAATAAATAAATAAAACAATAAATGTCATTTAAGATTTTTTTTTTCCCACCAGGAGATTGTGAAGATAGAAACTGCTTTCTTTTTTTGCGGGGGGGGTGGTATTTTTAATTGAAGGGATTCAAGGTAGGTAGTTGCCAGTGTGAGAGGACTTACATGTGCTATAATTGGGTTTTTGTTCATTCATTCATTCTCCTGCAATTAGAGTTCTCCATAGCATGTGAGCGACAGACAGAAATACGCTGAGCTACAGGTGTTCCGTGCACTGCCGAGAGAGAAGGGTGTGCGTGGCCGTCTCCCTGAATAGGCCTTCCTGAGCTGGGAAAGTCATTTTTAAAAGAACACATGTGAAGTCATTGTTGATTGAAACTGATTACAGCCTTCAATTTTCTTTTCCACTGACCTCTCAGAAAATGTCTCCTCCTCCTGCTGCCATCTGAATGCTGAATTGGTCTTTTCCTACTTTGTTTTAATAGAACCAGGATTGCATTTGAAGTTAAGCTGCAAAAAACCAGTCGATCAACAGATTTTCGAGTCCCACAGTCAATATGCACCATGTTTAATGTTATGGTTGATGCCAAAGCTCAATCAACAAAACTTTGCAGCATGGAAATGGGCCAAGAGGTAAAAATATATATATAGATAGATCTCTCCTCCCTTACAGCCCCCCCTCCCACCATTGATTATGTAGAAGAAAACTTCACAAATTCCTTCCATCTACACTAGTCTGCTAACTTCAGGAATATACTCTAACATTTGTAGATTAAGCCGCAGATGAATGTTTGGTGTCCGTTTGTTAAGTAAATGTCTAAGGCTTGTGCTAATGAGCATGCCGGTCACTTGGTAGTGATTCTTGGCTGGCGTTGGACTGGCCGTGAAGTTCCTTTAAGTCCAATGATGTTTGATGATCTTATTTATTAGGCTGGTATCTCCAACAGATGTTTGCCAGAATGCAAGTCATTTTCACATTTGAAGTGCATTTTATCACTTTGAACATCTGGACGACAGGAGAGCTCTCTTTTTTGAATCTAGCATCTTCCAGGATCTATAATGTTGGCTCACCCTGCTACCCAGTCGCCAGCAGCAGGTTCTGAATTTTTAAGAAATCGCAGACTTTCATTTTCCTGAGATTGATTGTGCATCTTCCCTGACCAAAAGTTTAGTCCTTTGCTAAGTTTCCAGCTCCAAAGTGGTATTTAAAATGTAAAGGAGAGAGCAGCAGCAACTCGGGCTTGATTAAAGACCATCGTGATCATTTTCCTCTGATGGCCTTGCGCCAGCGAGATATTCATATACCAATTTAGAATTAATGCAAAAACATTTCTGGCACTCTCGTGTTGTTGCCAATTGGCATAAATTGCTCCTAAATCAGATCTTTCGATACCAGCCCTACACGCTCAGAATTTTTTACTAAATTATATTTGCTCCTTATTCGTTATTTATTTTCTCTTTCGGCACCTTCCATTTTTAAATGTGGGTTGGTGGTATTCTCTTCCTGGCAAGATCATCTTTAAGCTTCTCCCCCCCACCCCCCAGACCAGCTTCCTCCACCACGTTTGTGAGCCTCTGCCCCTGACTGACTTTCTGGTCCGGGACCTTTGCTCGGGGTTATGGTCTAGGCTTTGGGTCACATGCAAGGGGTTCTCTCTGCCGGTTCCCTTTGCTGCAGGTGAGCAATCTGGAGCAGCAGATCTAACTTCAGTGCATCAGGCTAATCAGAGAGCTTCCCAAACCCAGATTGTTGGGCCTCACCCCAAGAGTTCCCAATAGGTCTGGGGTGCGGTCCAAGAGTTTGCATGTCTAACAAATCCCCTGGTAATACTGATGCCACTGGCTGGTCTAGAGACCACACCATAAGAACCACTAGTCTGGAGGTTCAGTAACCAAACCTGAGTGGAGAAGGGCTCAGGAGGGAAGGTCAGCGTCCTGGGGAAGGCTCGGGCTGGGGACAGCCTCCTGGTTGGGGGTCTCACCTGGGCTGTGCTGCCCACCAGAGCTGGTCGAGTGGCTCAGCCTCTTTGGGCCTCGGTTTCTTCATCTGTAAAATGATAGCACTATTCTAGTTCTATTCAGGCTGCTTTTGGCTGCAGAATCAGTTCTTCAGACCTTACTGGGGAAAGCGGGGGGGCAGCATGTGAAAGGAATAAAATTTCTGGATGCAGTGGGGGCATCACCCACTCACATTTCTCTGGGCGACTCTGAACCATCTCTTGGGCTTCACAGAGCCCACTTAAAAAAACCTGTCTTGGATGGTCTCTAAGAATTGTGAGTGACTTCCAGAATCCTTCTCCTCCTGAATTTTTCTCTCTTTGGAGGTTTATTTTTTAAAATGAGATATAATTCACATACCATAAAATTCGCTCTTAAAGTATACAATTCAGTAGCATTTAGTATATTCACAAAATTGTGCAACCATCACCACAGTCAGTTGCAGGACATTCTTATCACCCTAAAAAGAAACCTGGACCCATTAGTATAATTCCCCAACCCGCCCTCCCCAGCCCCAGGTAACCGGCACTCTACTTCTGTTAATAAGGACTTGCCTATTTGAACATTTCATATAAATGGAATATACTAATATGTGGTCTTTTGTGCCTTCTTTCGCCTGGCAGAATGTTAAGATTTATACATGTTGTTCCAGGAAATTTATGGAGCCATTTCCCAGGAAAAAATACTTTCACATACAATTTCAAGGGACCGGGAAGTTTGTCAGGCCAAACTAAAGACCCCGTTGGAAATATGTGAAGGAAATAAGTCCTCTGAGGGACCTTGCTCTGTGGCTGTGACCTTGAGTAGAACTTCAGTGAGAAGTCTCATGCAAATGGTCCCTCATCAACTCTTCCATCTTCTAGAATGGGGACATTTATCTCCAAAGTAAAACTGAACAGTTAGAACGACATTGGCCAAAGGTGATGACTGGGAACATCCTGAAATTGGGAGAATAGATGAAAGTTTAATTTTTTTTGAGTTTTCACTTTGTGAGTATCTGATATTGAACTCCTATTATAGATCTAGTTACTGATGCCTGTTTCCACCTGGATTCCAATGCCCTCAAGGAGTTTTAGAATAGATTCTCCAGTTTTAAGTCACTTCTTGAATTTCATCACTGGGGTAAAATAGCATCTAAAGGCAGCTGTTGAAACATTTGTTAACCATACTTTTCCATCTTAAATATTTATTTTTTCATTAAAATTTGCAAAGCACCAATAGAGAGGAAATTGTATATTAAATACTTTCTCACTTGGTCTAGAGTGTTTTCATCTCATTTCCAAGGTCAGATGGTCTTAACAGAAAGACAACATACACACAATCTGTTCCATGACAAGGCAAAATGTGCAGCACTGGGAGTCAAGTGGAATGATTTTCCCAGTGTGATTGTGAATTTGCAGCAACTTAGCTCATTAGAAGCAAAAGTAAACTTCCCAAACTTTCCATGCCATTGAAGATTAGTAGTTTCCTTGCTATATCATGATCTAGGGCCCCAGAATATAATTTATTATTATTATTGTAATTATTATTATTAATTATTATTATTATCAAGCCAATCCAAGAAGGCCAGCAGAAGGGACTGAAAAAAATGCAAAAATAAGAAAGAGCGCTCTTTGTACCCAAATTGGATAATTCATCTGACTGCAAAAAATGTTGTAATAAGATAATCTAGTGGGGGTGGGGAGGGATGGTAATTAAACAATATCTGGTAGTATTTATACTCCTTCCTGGAGCATCACATCTGCCTAGAACAATTACTCTCCTGAGCAAGAGCAGAGTAAAGGCAGAGTACTCACTGATGCTCCAGAAAAGTCAATCAAATAAGCCTTGGAAGAAACTGATTAAAGAAATCCATGTATTTGGTAATTACTTGTATAAGAATGGAGGCTACTTAGATAAATACCCCTTTGCTACATAATAAGCAGAATAGATGTTACCCGGCCCTACTATCCCTCCAAAGTGGGTTTTATTTCACTGAGGTTATAATTGACATACAACAAAGTATGTAGCTTGTAGATGAGTTTAGAGAAATACACACATGTATACCATGCTAATCATTGGTTCCGGCAGCAGTAATGTTGCCTTGTAGCACTTCTAAGTTTCCAAACCATGTGCCCATGCATTGTTTCATTACTTTGTAGTGATTTTTATATTCACAACAGGGATAATTCTAGCCCCATTGAGGAAATGAGAAAATAGACTAACAGAAATGACATACTCAAGTTTCCTCTAGAAGTAAGAAGCACAATAAGCATATCAAAACATTTTTATAGCCCTAGCTGGTTTGGCTCAGTGGATAGAGCGTTGACCTGCAGACGGAAGGGTCCAGGGTTCAATTCCAGTCAAGAGCACATGCCTGGGTTGTGGGCTTGGTCCCAAGTGTGGGGCATTCAGGAGGCAGCCAATTAATGATTCTGTCTCATCATTGATGTTTCTATCTCTCTCTCCCTCTCCCTTCCTCTCTGAAATCAATAAAAATATATATTTTTTAAAAAGACCACTTTTTTATAAGCAGAATAAAAGAAATGTGGACAGGAGTGGTGATAATACTCATATATTCATAGACAGCGAAAGGGAGAGACAGTTGGAGTACCTGGGAGGAGTCAGGGCCAACTTTGGCATGGAAAACATGAGAGCAGGGAGAGGTTCCCACAAACCACCGTGTCTCCATATACTTCCGTCTGGATTCCTTAGAGGAGGGAAGAGAAAGCTTATTTGTCTTTCAGGAAAGACATTGTTAACTCCTCAGGACAGATCGCGCCTGGATCTTTCGTGAGTGATGCACAGAGAACATGCTCTTGGCTCTGCTTGCCGTTTCAGCGAAGTTTTTTGAGAGAATGTTTCTGTTCTCAATGATATTCTTTGCTTGTTTAGAAGCTTCTCATTTAATATTTCATATTATATTATTTTTGCCTACAGCTAACTTTCCTCAGTTAAATCTCATCATTAATGTCATAAATGTGAATCACTTATAGCGATCCAAAGAGAATCTAGAAGGTGCAGTCACGTGAGGGCAGGTGAGGGTGTGACTCAGGATCTTATCACAAGACCTACAAATGAGTTGGGAGCCCTGTCAACATTCCTGGGGTCCTTTGTTTTGACATCTTTCTGTGTTTTAGCACTGAACTCTGCAGATAGTGTTTGCATTTAGCCCCAGATTTCTGCCACTTCCTAGTAAATTCTTTCGTGAAGTTAGCAGTAGAGCCAACGTGGGTTCTGTTTACCAGGACTGTGCAACACCACCATTTGCTTTTTCTCTCTCTCTCTAGTCAACTAAAAGGCAAGTAAAATGAGATGACTGAGCAATAAGACCATCTCCCTCTACCCTTGCTTTCTACTTTATGAATTTCAACAAATAATATTGGAATTGCAAGTGTAAGTTGACAAAATGTTTCCACATCTAGACCCTCAGTACATCTTCAAACTATATCTATGATTCTGAGAGCAGGACTGCCAGGAAAAAAAACTTGACCTTGATTTTTTAATAGCCCTGATTGGGTGGCACCTGGTGGGTGCATCGTTCTGTGCACCAAAAAGATTATAGGTTCAGTGCCAGGTCAGGGAACATACCTAGGTTGTAGTTTCAATCCCCAACCATCCCATGTGGGCTCATATCTGAGGCAAGCAATCAATGTTTTTTCTCCTGATCTCCCTCTCTCTCCTGTCCTCTCTCTCCCTCTGGAATCAATAAAAACAAATCCTTGAGTGAGGATAAATAAATAAATAGTAATAATGAAACAGACCTGCTAAATATCTTTACACAGGGTGTGCCTCATTCCCATTACAAAATCATCAATAATTTATACTGGCTTCTCCCCTGTCCCATTGACCCTAGGTAGTAGTAGTAGTATCTGTTATGTGTGTGTTTTTTAGGGGTTTTTTTGTTGTTGTTTTTTACAGATGAAGAAACCGAACTATATTTTCTTAGGCAACATAACTAACCAACTTTGCACTGGGGTTTTGTCTAGGTCTTCCAGTTACAAATCAAATCCCACTATGACTTGAAATGAATTAACCTCATTCCCACCCCTTTGCTCCCTTTCAATACTGCTGATCGCCAGTTACCAGAATATCAAACCACATTAATATGGCTTATGATTTCCGCATGTTTTCATAGCTTTCTGGATGGTTTGTTTAATTTTTCTTTTCTCATGTGCCCTATTGTCCTAATTTTCATTTGCATTGTTCCCTTTTTTTCGATTCCTAATTACTCCTCCCTCTGAAAGTTTGCTAACGAGTGGGTAAGTGCATTTTCTTTCCGGAGAGCCGTGCTTGGCATTGTTGTTTTCCATTGAGGAAATGTGGAATAACTCAATGGATATTGAGATGCTCTAATAAATGTCAAGGAGCTGGCATAGAGTGCTTTCTGTTGAAATCGCGTTTTCTTTCCTCCTGGCATGTGCAGCAGATTTTGTTTGTGTGGGGTTTGTTTTTGCATTACTATTTAAATTTAATAACCGACAGCAGCAGTTAGAGAATTTGAAAAACTTAGTAGCAGTCTCATTAGTGCTCTAAGCCTGGGCCTGCTTGCCCATCACGGAGAAGACGAGTGGCAGCCACCAGGGTTGAGAAAGAGGCCCTGCCCAGGCGCTGAGTCAACACACTGAGATGGAATGAGGGGCGCTGAGGCATTCACCCCAAAGAGCCAAAGGTCTTAGAACAGTTTTTGCAAAATCACGCACAATGTATTGGTCAAATTCCCTTTGGAAGGGTGTACTTCCTCAGCCACAGCTCCCAGCAGTTTCCCAAAGATAATTTTCGTCCCTGTATTAAATTGTTGTGGTATCGTGCTTTGTACGACCCAGGTCAACACGCTGCTGGGCTGTGAAGCCGCCCGTGCCAGCTTTTGTAAAGGCCTGTGTGTCTCTACACATATCAAAGCAATGGAACGCTTTGGGTGAGGAGCAATGTGCCTGATAATTTTTTTTTAAGAGCTTCGAATCTCTCCTCATCAAAGACACAGAGTCAGAATCTTACAGCTGCTTCCAGGACTGTGGAGAGGGATGGGGTGGGCAGGGCAGGCTTTAGGTATAAATTGCGTTGTCTAAAAATTACCGACGGATGCCATGCCATCACCTCCCAAACATGCTAATATTTGTCTTTCTGTGTTCTTCAGCATCAATACCATTCAAAAATAGACGAACTAATTGAAGAAACTGTTAAAGAAATGATCACACTCTTGGTGGCAAAGGTAATCTTCCGTTTCAGGTGAAATGTTTCGTTGTGAGCATTGCTTTGTTATGTCTGCATTCCCATTAAAATGTCACACGTCAAAAAGTTGAGCCGGGCACTTACATTTCTCAGGAAACAGGATTGCGCCTCACCCAGCCGCAGTGCCGAGTGATTTTTCTGATGATTGCGAGCCGAGTGAGGATGAAGCGATGAAGTGGCATATGTTAACTTAATAAGAATTTGTCCCCAAACGCTGCACTAGGTTATGCAGGAAATGTTTGTTTTGTTTTTCAGCATTGACAAAGTTAGGTTTTTAAATACAGAAAGTTAAACGGTAATAAGGAATTCTGCCATCGTAGGCACCCCCTTCCCCCTAGTTTCACATGCAGTGAGAGTCATAATAAAGCAGAAAAGTCAGATAAAGCTATTTCAGTCACCCTCATGAATTCTAGAATTTTAACTAAGTAATGTTGAATGGGAAGACATTTATATTTGCCAGTGCTAAACTTCTGTTTCCCCCAAATTACTGATAAAATACAAATAAAAATAGATTGGATTAAATGTAGTGCTAATATGTAACATAAAGACGGCTTTGCGCAGTTTGGGATTTTGAAAAGTGCATTTAATATTATCGCATGCTATATGCAACGCAATAATATTTTGTCACTTTGCACTTCTGGAGCACTCTCTATTTGCAATCACATAATAATGAAGAGAAAGCCGGATAAGTCAAATATTTCTGTGTCGAGGCGTCTACTCCTCTCCCCGCAGGCTGCGATCACATAATAGAAGGCGAACATGAGCAGAGGCTCCGTGATGGTTGGAAATGTTGCTCTTTATCGTGAGCAGTTCTCCTCTGGAACACTAATTCTTTTTTCTCTTTTGCGGTTTTTCTAGTTCGTTACTATCTTGGAAGGAGTGTTGGCAAAATTATCCAGATATGACGAAGGGACCTTGTTTTCTTCTTTCTTGTCATTCACCGTAAGTAAAGAGGTTTACATTAATTTTCTTAAGGAAATATGGATGCTTCAGATGGGTAAAATGAGCTGGTGAATGTCAAGAAGCTGACATGCGGAGGGTGCTGCTGTGGCATTTGGTTTGGATTGGTGTGTGTGTGTGTTAATTCCGGTCACCCATCAGCGTCTGCTGATAACGCCGGGAGAAGGAGCGGGGCACTTCATAGCAGCCGCCACACCGCTGCTGTTTCCTTTGTGCATATCCACTATGTGCACACTTGTATGCCTCTGTATATTTGTATCCAAGGAGAGTTGGCGGACTGAGCCCACCTTAGCTTCTTAGGTGAAAACACTTACCGTTTCTGAGCTACCATTTCCTCGTCTGTGAATTAATTTTAGGGGTTGCAAATGGAGACCTACGGGTCAGAGAGAGCTTGGAAATATGTTTTATTTGGTCCTCACTGTGTCGGGTACACTTTCCTTAACTGAATTAGTTTCCCGCATTTAAAAATCAGAAGAATTCACAGAGAAGCCTGAATCCCAGGGCTCTATGAAGTGACGGCCGGCAGCTTTATGAAGGCCTGTCTGTCGGCACAGCAGCCGTCTGCAGGGCTCAGTCACAGGGTCTCACAGTCCAGCCGTTTTCGCCAGTTTCCTTGAGCCCCTTCCGGGCTGTCCTGCTCATTCATAGGCCTGCCAGGGCTTGGGGACACTTGAGTTACACCCCTGGCACACACGATCGAGTCTGTACAAGTCTGAGAGGTTCTAAGTCTGTGCCAGAATCGGGCATGGCCATAGAAGTTAGGTGGTGGTGGGCAGAGGCCAGCCTGATTCTCTGGAGGTAAGCGGGGCGGGTGGCTGTAAGCGGACTGCTCCGGGGCCTGTTCTCCTTCCCTTGCTGTGCTAGGCGGGAACTGCAGCTGCAGGCCTCCTTGCCATCTCTGATGGCAGGGGTCTTGCTGGCTCTGGGACCAGCTGTCATCCTCTGACAATGCCATAGGAAAGGCCATTTAGGACCCACTATCTTTGAGTCTTTGAAAGAGACTTCATTTATGAAGAATTTCCTAAAAGGGCCTTGAATGCCAAGGCAAGACCCAGCACAGGATAGAGGGTAGCACATCATCATCTTTGGAATCCAACAAAATCGGGTTCAAATCCCATTACCCATACTGGCCAGCTGTGTGATCTTGAGTAGGTGTCTCATCCTTCCTGAGCCTCATCCTCTCTGAGGTTTGTTTTAGTTTTGGTTTTGGTTTTGGTTTTGGTTTTGGTTTTAGGGAGGTGTGCTATTGTATCATTTTGCTGTGTGTGTGTGTGTGTGTGTGTGTGTGTGTTGATTGCAGTTAATACCAATATTGTATGGAAGTAGGGAGTAAATAACGTCTTCCACAATGAGCTTCTTTAAGGATAATAATATAAGTGAAAGAGCTTAGTCCTAGCATAGTCCTAGCACACAGTAGGTCTCAAAAATAGCAACTATTATTAATAAAAGATATCTAATATGTTTATTATATAACACAAGCATACATACACACAAGTTCTTTCCACATGCCCTT